TCCCATAATAATGAAAATCAATTTAAGGCCCTAAGTCTTTGGAAACAAATGATAATTTTCTTAATTCATATGTAAATGGCCTCTGCTGATAGATATACAGTATGCTCTGCATCATTGTAGTAGATAGAATCTGGGACCCATTTTCTCCCTTTGCAGATATTATTACATTTACTGAGTTGTTGACTTCAAGATAGGGTTAGTTTCCTATGTTATCCAGGTGAGACCAATATAATCATATGTGGCCTTAAAAGCAGAAATTTCAATGAGATGAGGGCAGAAGAGTAAGTCAGAGAGATTCATATAATGAGAAAGACATGAATTGCTATATCATTGGCTTGAAGATGGAGTTGGGCATATGGAAATGTGAGAGGAAAATGACTTCTGCCAATGAGTGAGGGGTAGAAGACCTGAGGCCTAGTTGAAAACTATATCTTAGGCCATTAATTGGCTTTTAGCCCAATAAGTCTCTGAGAAGAGAATCTAGCCATGCCTTGACAGAGTTTTGACTTACAGAAATAGTGAGATAATACTCTTGTATTGTTTTAAGCCATTAAATCGGTGGTAATCATGGCAGCAACAGGAAACTTACATAATCACCAAGAGGCAGGGTAACAGAGGTTAGCTTGTTTCTTCTCCTACATTAAGTTTCCTAAGGATTGACCAGCACTAAATAACTAAAGGTAGAATTTGCAAGAACTAATTCTTGGAAATGTATCCCTTTAGCTAACCTAACTTAACCCTGTTACATTTGAAATTAACTTTCTCTTGCTTCTTTCTCATCAAAGTCAATCATCCCTGGAGTCTATAGTTAAATACACCTCACGACCTGTCTAGACCATGTTACTTCTCTGCTCAGAAACTTTCAGGGTTTCCCTTCCTGCTGAGTACATTCTAAATTCAGGGGCTCAGTAGTCAAACCACCCACAGCTCCTCCAGTCCTAAATAAGGAGTAGTTGCATTTGTGGAACTCTGAAAATGACCAAGAACTGAGTTTAAAGTGACCTGGGATCAATGTGTTTTAATTTATTGTTTTCAAAAGAACTAATGTGTGGTGATTGCTACTGAATCTCACATTTTATGAATCATTTCTCCAAAAATCCTAGGCTATTCTGAATTCTAACTTTATTAGTCAAAATGGTAGCTATCTTTAGTCATCCAGTGCTGGAGTTCTTAAAAGTGAAATTTTTAAGATTAATAAACTTAGATGCGCTTTCTTTGTGAAAACTTTTGTGACAGGGGCAACTTCTTTTGTTGAATTAATTAGAGACACAGACAAAAATGACTCAAATCTCTTCCAGAAGAGACAGTAAGATGTCAAATATAAGGAATATATACTTTAATTCTCAATCATACTATGTATTTGCTTTAAAAAATATTTTTCTGCCTTTTGTTTTTGCCAAGAATGTTGACATAAATCTCACAATTCTCACCAACATGCTTAATTTATCAAATATTTTTGTGTGGCATCAAGGCAGAAGGTTTTAATTAAACTAAAATTCAATTTAATCCTCAGAACAGATAAGAATGTGAAAGTTAAATGAATGTAAGTATAAACATTTTACCCCTGTACGTATCTTGTCTGTTTCTAATTTAATTTTTATCCATGAACACTATTACTAATTAGGCAATTTAAAATACCCAAGTTGCTTTGGTCAATATTACATTAATTTTGAATATCTATATTTATCAACCAGGAATAGTACATATATTTTGAAACACTGTTATAATGAAGGAGCGATATCAAGATACATAAATATATAAATCTTATACTTCTATCTCAAGCTGCTTTTGAAAACTATTTAAATCCAAAGTAGTACTTTTACTTATTCATTCTTTTGTTTACTCCTATGTATACACATTTACTCAAGTCCTATCAATTGCCAGGAGCTTCAGTATAGGACATATTTCTACGTGCTCACCAAAAACCATCATTTTTTTCATCATCTTTGGTGTACACCTAGAGTACATTTCTAATACTCCTTGCCAGTTAAGGTGTTCAAGACTGAGTGTTAGCTGGTGGAAGTAACTGGTGCTACTACCAGGCCTGGTCCATAAAAATCTTCCACATCCCCTCCTCCATGCTCTTTTGCCCCCAGGTCTGTTTGGAATAAAGAAAGCCTCAGGGAAATCCTGGAATCAATTGTTAAAGGTGGAAGAGGCTCCATTAGCTTGGCTCCCTGAATAACTGCACACAGGAAAGCCATCCCATGACCTATTCATTTACCTAATACTGTTGAGTGATCAAGAAGTAACAGCCTTCAAAAAAAAAAAAACAAAAAAAAAACAGCAATAGTGTGGAGTGCATGAGAACAAGTGATGGGAACTGAATTTGCATAGTGGGAGGAGCTATATGATGAATCCTGGTCACTGAAATACTTAAACCAGTCTTGCTTAGACTTGTGACTTTGGAAGAATACTCTGATGTTTCTGAGGCAGTAAGATTGGAGATGAGGTGGCTGGTTTTCAGATCACTGTAATTATTCAGATGAGAACTTATGAAAACCCTAGGGCAGGGGTGGGCAACCTTTTTGTGAGTGCGTGCCAAAACCAGCAAAATCTCTGACTCAAAATGCTTCTGCATGCCAACCCTAATTTTTTGAGAACATGTTACGCCTACTTGATATCTCTTAAGGTGTACATATGTGAAGAACCTTGAAGAAATAATAAAATTCATTCGAGCGACAAAAAACACAGTATATGATGACGAAAAATACATTTATTTTTTAATGTACACATGTACACTGATAGTCCAACAGAAAACTTTATGACTCCGTTTGATATTATCAGTGGGACTTTTGCTGCTGCATCACTGATGACAGAGATTTTACATCAGGTTTATATTTTGTGACCTTCAGAGATATGCACGAGCTACTACTTTCATCCGTCAGGCTACTCCTATTATGAGACTTAACAAAATTCATCACTGAGAACAAAGATTCACAAGAGTATGTGGATGAAACCAAAACACTGGTCAGATCTAGGAAGGCAGGGAGAGTTAAGGCAGAGGCATAGAAATTGCTCTTCCCCTCTCTCGTCAATCCATGTCTATGGTCTTTAAGATAACTTGTTATGTAAAATTATTTATTTATCTTAGATGCACCTACAATGAATTTATCTGAAAAATAAAAAAGTCGATATTAAGAAAAAAATTATAAATGGAAGATTATAAGAGAGGGTTTCGCGTGCCAGCAAAAGTTACTGGTGTGCCATGTTTGGCACGCGTGCCAGGGGTTGCCCTCCCCTGCCCTAGGGGCTGACAGGGAAGAAAAAGATCATAAGATTTTGTGGCCAAATGAATGCAGGGGACAAGTCTCAGGCTATGTCTATATTGTCTGCCCTGATTTGAGAAGAAGAGCAAAGTGAACAGTAGTACATTCAACAAAATAGAAAATATAGGAGGAGGGTCAAGTATATGGGTTAGATGAGGAGTTTGGTTCCAGAGAAGTGGAGTCTGAGGTGCCTTGGGCAGAGAAAGATGAGTTTCATGCATATGAAGGATACTAATGTGGAGGTGATATGTAAGTGTTGACATCACATGGGAAGTAGATGATATTTGGCATGAATAAATTTGCTGAGGAAAAGAAAGAAAAAT